CTTCGACGTGGTCAACGAGGGCGGGGAGAAGGAGAAGATGGAGCTGTTTGTCAACTTCTGCGAGGACACCATCTTTGAGATGCAGCTGGCCGCCCAGATGTCCGACATCGGGGAGCGGTCGGCCATGAAGGAGGAGAGCGAGAAGGAGAAACCGGAAGAGGAAAGCCCTGAGATGGGCTTCTTCTCTGTGACCACGGTCCGGACCGCCCTGATGGCGCTACGCAACAACGTCATGTTCCTGATGAATGTAAATTGATTTCATTTGACAATATCAAAAATATATATATATACAGCCAGTACATCATTTTTAAAGACTACCAAGGACTTATTTCCTCTCCAGGTTCTGTCCATGAAGAGCCTGAAGAAGCAGACGAAGAAGATGAAGAAGATGACGGTGAAGGACATGGTGATGACGCTGGTCTCCTTCTATTGGTCCGTCATCATGGGCCTGTTCCACTTTACCTTCAGCGTCTCCAGAGGGTTCTGCAGAATCATGTCCAACACCTTCCTAGGAGGTAGTCTGGTAGAGGGAGCCAAGACTATGAAGGTGAGCACGGCTTTTAGTGTCTGTGTCATTTCTAGTGTCGGTGTGTATTAGCTGGTGTGGTGTGTTGTATTAGTGTATTAGCTTGTGTTGTGTGTATTAGTTGGTGTGGTGTGTATTAGTTGGTGTGGTGTGTATTAGCTGGTGTGGTGTGTATTAGTTGGTGTGGTGTGTATTAGTTGGTGTGGTGTGTATTAGTTGGTGTGGTGTGTATTAGTTGGTGTGGTGTGTATTAGTTGGTGTGGTGTGTATTAGCTGGTGTGGTGTGTATTAGCTGGTGTGGTGTGTATTAGTTGGTGTGGTGTGTATTAGTTGGTGTGGTGTGGTGTGTATTAGTTGGTGTGGTGTGTATTAGTTGGTGTGGTGTGTATTAGTTGGTGTGGTGTGTATTAGTTGGTGTGGTGTGTATTAGCTGGTGTGGTGTTGTGTGTATTAGTTGGTGTGGTGTGTATTAGTTGGTGTGGTGTGTATTAGTTGGTGTGGTGTGTATTAGCTGGTGTGGTGTGTATTAGTTGGTGTGTATTAGTTGGTGTTGGTGTGTATTAGTTGGTGTGGTGTGTATTAGCTGGTGTGGTGTGGTGTGTATTAGTTGGTGTGGTGTGGTGTGTATTAGTTGGTGTTGTGTGTATTAGCTGGTGTGGTGTGTATTAGTTGGTGTGGTGTGTATTAGCTGGGTGTGGTGTGTATTAGTTGGTGTGGTGTGTATTAGCTGGTGTTGTGTGTATTAGTTGGTGTGGTGTGTATTAGCTGGTGTGGGGTGTTATTCGCTGGTGTGTGGTGTATTAGTTGGTGTGGGTGTGTATTAGCTGGTGTGGTGTGTATTAGTTGTGTGGTGTGCATTAGCTGGTGTGGTGTTGTATTATGCTGGTGTGGTGTGTATTAGCGGGTGTGGTGTGTATTAGTTGGTGTGGTGTGTATTAGCTGGTGTTGTGTGTATTAGTGTGGTGTGGTGTGTTATTAGCTGGTGTTGTGTGTATTAGCTGGTGTGGTGTGTATTAGTTGTGTGGTGTGGTATTGTGGTGTGGTTGTGTATTAGTTGGTGTGGTGTGTATTAGTTTGGTGTGGGTGTGTATTAGCTTGGTGTTGTTGTGTATTAGTGGTGTGGTTGGTGTGTATTAGTTGGTGTTTTTGTATTAGCTGGTGTGGGTGTATTAGTTGTGTGATTAGTTGGTGTGGTGTGTATTACTGTTGTGTGTATTTAGTATTGTGTGGTGTGTATTAGCTGGTGTGGTTGTGTATTAGCTGGTGTGGTGTTTTATTGCTGGTGTGGTGTGTATTAGTTGGTGTGGTGTGTATAGTTGGTGGTTTGTGTGTATTAGCTGGTGTTGTGTGTATTAGCTGGTGTGGTGTGTATTAGTTGGTGTGTGTGTATTGTTGGTGTGGTGTGTATAGTTGGTGTGGTGTGTATTAGTTGGTGTTTGTGTATTAGCTGGGTGTGGTGTGTATTAGCTGGTGTGGTGTGTATTAGTTGGTGTTGTGTGTATTAGCTGGTGTTGTGTGTATTAGTTGGTGTGGTGTGTATTAGTTGGTGTTGTGTGTATTAGCTGGTGTGGTGTGTATTAGCTGGTGTGGTGTGTATTAGTTGGTGTTGTGTGTATTAGTTGGTGTGGTGTGTATTAGCTGGTGTGGTGTGTATTAGTTGGTGTGGTGTGTATTAGTTGGTGTGGTGTGTATTAGTTGGTGTGGTGTGTATTAGTTGGTGATGTGTGTATTAGCTGGTGTGGTGTGTATTAGTTGGTGTGTATTAGTTGGTGTGGTGTGTATTAGTTGGTGTGGTGTGTATTAGTTGGTGTGGTGTGTATTAGTTGGTGTGGTGTGTATTAGTTGGTGTGGTGTGTATTAGCTGGTGTGGTGTGTATTAGTTAGTAATCTCATTCCAAAATCATGGGCATTAATATGGAGTCGGTCCCCCCTTTGCTGCTATAACAGCCTCCACTCTTCTGGGAAGGCTTTCCACTAGATGTGGGGCGGCAGGTAGCTTAGTGGTTAAGAGCGTTGTGCCAGTAACCGAAAGGTCGCTGGTTCTAATCCCCAAGCCGACTAAGTTAAAAATCTGTCGATGTGCCCTTGAGCAAGGCACTTAACCCTAATTGCTCCTGTAAGTCGCTCTGGATAAGAGCGTCTGCTAAATGACTAAAATGTAATGTAAAATGTAGATGTTGGAACATTGCTGCGGGGACTTGCTTCCATTCAACCACAAGAGCATTAGTGAGGTCGGGAACTGATGTTGGGCGATTAGGCCTGGCTCGCAGTCGGCATTTCAATGCATCCCAAAGGTGTTCGATGGGGTTGAGGTCAGGGCTCTGTGCAGGCCAGTCAAGTTCTTACACACCGATCTCGTCAAACCATTTCTGTATGGACCTCACTTTGTGCACGGGGGCATTGTCATGCTGAAACAGGAAAGGGCCTTCACCAAACTGTTACCACAAAGTTGGAAGCACAGAATCGTCTAGAATGTCATTGTATGCTGTAGCGTTAAGATTTCCCTTCACTGGAACTAAGGGGCCTAGCCCGAATCACGAAAAACATCCCCAGACCATTATTCCTCCTCCACCAAACTTTACAGTTGGCATTATGCATTGGGGCAGGTAGCGTTCTCCTGGCATCCGCCAAACCCAGATTTGTCCGTAGGACTGCCAGATGGTGAAGCGTGATTCATCACTCCAGAGAACGCGTTTCCACTGCTACAGAGTCCAATGGCGACGAGCTTTACACAACCTCAGCCGATGCTTGACATTGCGCATGGTGATCTTAGGCTTGTGTGCGGCTGCTCGGCCATGGAAACCCATTTCATGACGCTCTCGATGAACAGTTATTGTGCTGACGTTGCTTCCAGAGGCAGTTTGGAACTCGGTAGTGAGTGTTGCAACCTAGGACAGACGATTTATTCGCGCTACTCAATTCAGCACTCGGCGGTCCTGTTCTGTGAGCTTGTGTGGCCTACCTGTCACGATCGTCTAATGAGGGAGAGGACCAAGGCGCAGCGTTGAAAGTGAACATAGTATTTATTAGACTGATCACACGATCAAAATAACTAACGAAAACGTGATGTCTCTGGTTACATACACAAACCAAAATGAGAACAAGAAACCACAAATAATGAATGCCAAAAGGCTACCTATGTATGACTCCCAATCAGAGACAACGAGCTACAGCCGTCTCCGATTGGGAGCCACCCTGGCCAACATAGAATTACAACAACTAGAACATAAACAAATGAAAACTCACACCCTGGCTCAACATACTAGAGTCCCCAGAGCCAGGGCGTGACACTACCACTTCGCGGTTGAGCCGTTGTTGTTCCTAGACGTTTCCACTTCACAATAACAGCACTTACAGTTGACCGGGGCAGCTCTAGCAGGGCAGATATTTTACGAACTGACTTGTTGGACAGCTGGCATCCTATGACGGTGCCATGTTGAAAGTCACTGACTTGTTGGACAGCTGGCATCCTATGACGGTGCCATGTTGAAAGTCACTGACTTGTTGGACAGCTGGCATCCTATGACGGTGCCATGTTGAAAGGAACTGACTTGTTGGACAGCTGGCATCCTATGACGGTGCCATGTTGAAAGGAACTGACTTGTTGGACAGCTGGCATCCTATGACGGTGCCATGTTGAAAGGTACTGACTTGTTGGACAGCTGGCATCCTATGATGGTGCCATGTTGAAAGGCACTGACTTGTTGGACAGCTGGCATCCTATGATGGTGCCATGTTGAAAGTCACTGACTTGTTGGACAGCTGGCATCCTATGATGGTGCCATGTTGAAAGTCACTGACTTGTTGGACAGCTGGCATCCTATGATGGTGCCATGTTGAAAGTCACTGACTTGTTGGACCGCTGGCATCCTATGATGGTGCCATGTTGAAAGTCACTGACTTGTTGGACAGCTGGCATCCTATGATGGTGCCATGTTGAAAGTCACTGACTTGTTGGACAGCTGGCATCCTATGATGGTGCCATGTTGAAAGTCACTGACTTGTTGGACAGCTGGCATCCTATGATGGTGCCATGTTGAAAGTCACTGACTTGTTGGACAGCTGGCATCCTATATGGTGCCATGTTAAAGTCACTGACTTGTTGGACAGCTGCATCCTATATGGTGCAACGTTGAAAGTCACTGACTTGTTGGGCCAGCTGGCATCCTATGATGGTGCATCGTTGAAAGGCACTGACTTGTTGACAGCTGGCATCCTCTGATGGTGCCATGTTTGAAAGTCACTGACTTGTTGGACACTGGCATCCTATGATGTGCCATGTTGAAAGTCACTGACTTGTTGGACAGCTGGCATCCTATGATGGTGGCCATGTTGAAAGTCACTGACTTGTTGGACAGCTGGCATCCTATGATGGTGCCATGTTGAAAGGCACTGACTTGTTGGGCAGCTGGCATCCTATGATGGTGCCATGTTGAAAGGCACTGACTTGTTGGACAGCTGGCATCCTATGATGGTGCCATTTGAAAGGGCACTGACTTGTTGGACAGCTGCATCCTATGATGGTTCCATGTTGAAAGTCACTGACTTGTTGGACACTGGCATCCTATGATGGTGCCATGTTGAAAGGCACTGACTTGTTGGACAGCTGGCATCCTATGACGGGGCCATGTTTAAAGGGAAAGGGCTTTTGGACAGTGGGGAATTTCCCTTTTGGGGGTGGTGCCCTGTTGAAAGGCCCCCTGACTTTTTGGACAGCTGGCATTTTTTTTATGATGGTTTCCATGTTTTAAAGTCACTGACTTGTTGGGGGGCAAAGCTGGCATCCCATGTGGTTCCAAAGTTTTAAAGGGAACCCGGGTTGGGTTGGGGCAGCTGGCATCCTATGACCCGGGGGAAAGTTTTAAAGGGGATGACTGGGGACAGTGGGATTCCCCCTTTATGGTGCAACGTTGATTTTAAAATCCTGACTTGTTGGGACAGCGGAAACCCATGATGGGGCCTTGAAAGTCAAAGACTTGGGGGACGCTGGCCCCTCCCTTTATGGTGCCCTGTTGGGAAAAGGGACTGACTTGTTGGGGGAAAACCAGCTGGCATCCCATGACGGTGCCCTGTTTAAAAATCACTTTACTTTTTGGGGCCGCTGGCATTTCCCAGGGCGGGCCATGTTGAAAAGGGACTGACTTGGGGGGGGCAGCTGGCAACCATGGCGGTGCCATGTTTGAAAGGGACGACTTGTTGGCCCGTGGATCCTTTTGACGGTGCCTGTTGAAAGGAACTGACTTGTTGGACCGTGGCTCCATTTACGGTGCCCGTTGAAAGGAACTGACTTGGGTTTGGAAAAAGTGGCATTCCCATGACGGTTTCCATTGAAAAGGGAAATTTACTTGGGGGGACAGTGGCATCCATGATGGCCTGTTGGGAAAATCAATGATTGTTGGGGAAAAGGGGGAAGCCCCATGACGGTTTTTTCAAAGTTAAAAGGCCCCTGAGCCCCAGTAAGGCCAATTTTTATTTCCAATGTTTGTCTATGGGATTGCATGGGGGTGTTTCTGATTCTATACACCTGTAGGAAAGGGGTGGCTGAAAAGCCGAATCCACCAAATTTTAAGGGGTGTCCACATTTCTGCCTTTTTTTTAAGTGATGTGTTTTTGGCCATTGGTCTTTCAAATATTGGGTTAAAAATATTTTCAAAGGACCGGGAGAACGGGAAAAAGTGGGAAGAAAAGGGGCGGCGGCCCCGGGGACCCCCGAGGCCCAAAAGAAAGGGGAAGGGGAAGGGGGGACAGGAGGAAGTGAAGGGGGCCAAGAGAAAAAGGAAAAGCGGAAGAGAAGAGAAAAAGGGGAAGGCCCAGCCGAAAGAGCGGGGGAATTTGGCCCGAGGCCCCTTCTATTTTCGTGGTTTTCTTCCTCTTTAGGGGGTCTGGAAAAAGTGGGGCCCAAAATGCCTGACCCGGCCCCCGGGATGGGGGGGTTCCCGGAGGGGGGGGGAGAAGGTGGCCCCTTCCGCAGACCCGGGGCCCGAAAAGGGGGGGGGGTTTGGGGGAATCTAGCCGGGGCCCGGGGGAAACCCCCGGGGGACCGGGCCTCCGGGGGAAAAACTTGGAAGGGGGGTCTGGAAAAGGGGGGGAAAAAGGGGGGGACGTTAAAAGCAACGCCCACCAAAAACCCCCAACGCCCAAAAAATTCTGAAACCCCGGAAATCTGGGGGGGGGGGAAAAACCCAAAAACCCCTCCTTTTCCTTTCCCCCCCAAAAGCAACTCCACCGGGGCCCCCACAAGAGGACGGAAAAGGTAAACCCCCCGGGGAAAACCCCTTAAAACCCCGCGTTGTTGTTCCCCCCGGGTTTTCCCCCCGGGCCCGCTTCCCCTCTCGCAGCTTGGTCGGGCCCCCCCTGAAATCCTCCCCTTCCCCAAAAAATCCTAAACCCCCCTTTTTCCCCCCACCTATTGTTCCCTTTTTTCTCTTCCCTCTAAAAAAACGGGGGGGGAAAAATCCCCCCCAAAAAAAAAAAAAAAATTAAAACCTTCTTTATTGTTCTCTTTCCCCTCATTACACTCTTCCCATTTTTCTGGGCTTCCCCTTTTCCTTTCTGGGCCGTTTCTTCTGGGTTGTCTGGCTGTCCCGTTTTGTTGTCTGTATCTCTCCCCTCTTTCTTTCTCTTTTGGTCTTCTCGGTCTAATTTCCCTCTCTCTTATCTTTTCCTTTCCTTTCTCCCTTCTCTGTCTTCCTCACTCTCACTCTCACTCTCAAGTCTGTCTGTATGTTTGGGCGGTCTTTTCTTTATGTCGGGCTGTTTGTTGTCTGTCTGTTTGTCTTTTTTTTGTTGTCTTCTCTCTTTCTCTCTCTTTTCTCTCTCTCCCTTAATTAATTAATTCCCTTTTTTTTCAATTTCAAAATTTAATTTTAATTTTCCCAATTTTAAGGGGGTTATTTTGGGATGGGAAACGGATGTTAACTTTCCAAAGCAAGTGAAAGTAGATTTTTTTTTTTTGGGATTTTTTTTTTCCCCCCTCCTCCCCCCTTTCCCTCTTTTCCTCTATCTGTCTCTCTCTATCGCAGTCTCTCATCTCTGTCTCTCGTCTCTGTTCTCTCTCTTCTCTCTCTGTCCTCTGTCTACTCCTCTCTCCTCGGCATGACCGCTCCTTTCTTGACTCGTGTCTCTCTCCCTGCTGTTTCCCTGTCTCGTTCTCGTCTGTCTCCTTGTCTCTCTCTCTCTGCATTCTCGCTGATCTCTCTAGCCCCTCTCCTCCTATTATCTGTCTCTCGCTCTGTCTCTCTCTCTGCGATCTCTTCTTCTGATTGGTCTGATTCTGTCTTATTGTCTCTTCTCTCCTCTCTCTATATCTCTCTCTTCTCTCTTCTCTGTCTGTCTCTTCTCTCTCTCTGTCTGTTTCTCTCTGTCTCTGTCTGTCGTCTGTTCTCTCTCTTTCTCTCTTCTTCTTTGTCTCTGTGTCTATGTTTCTGTCTGTTTCTCTCTCTCTTTCTAGTCTCTCTTCCTCTCTCACTCTACTCTCTTCTATCTGTATGTCTCTCTCTTCTGTAGTCTCTTCTTCGTCTTCTTGTCTATTCTTCTCTGTTCTCTTCTCTCTCTCTCTGTCCCTCTCAGTCTCTCACTCTCACTCTTCAACTCTTCTGTACTGTCTGTCTCTCTGTCTGTTTCTCTCTCTCTCTCTGTCTCTCTCTTTGTGCCTCCCTCCCTCCCTCCCTCCCTCCTCCCTGGACCATTGCTTTCCCAGCAGGAAGAGACATCAGTGTCTCCATAGTGTCGGCCTGGCTGGGCTCCCACCACTCTAACACATTATCTTCACATTACCGTGATTGAGTGTTTCTGCTCTGTGTTGATAAGGCTGCTCAGCCCATTGCTGTTTGCTGCTGTTCTGTGATGTGGTGCGTTTCCTGCTGTTTTAGGCTAAGAGCCCCCCAGAGGAAGGGAAGACAGGGACTGAGGAAAGCCAGGAGGCCAAGTCAGAGCCGGAGAAAGCAGAGTATGTACAAGTCCCCGTTCCTCTGTTACTCCTGGTGTGTTCATCTGAAATACGGCAGTTGAACATAATGAAACTAAGTTGATCATGGAAGAGGAATGTTGTTACAATGTAAAATAATGTGTTCTCTACTGTGTCTGTTAACTGACCGCTCCTGTGTCTGTTAACTGACCGCTCCTGCCGTCCAGGGGAGTGGATGGAGAAAAGCAGGAGGAGGAGAGGAGAAAGGAGGAGAGGAGAAAGGAGGAGAGGAGAAAGGAGGAGAGGAGAAAGGAGGAGAAGGAGCCGAAAGCTAAAGCGAGACAGCACCACACCTCCAAGTCTGATGAGCATGACATGCAGGAGTCTACCTTCTGGAAGAACATCATCGCCTATCAGAGGAAGCTGCTGGTACAACACACACACACACACACACACACACACACACACACACACACACACACACACACACACACACACACATACGCACACACACACACACATACACACACACATACGCACACGCACGCACACACACACGCACACACACACACACACAAGCACGCACACACACACACACAGTCTTCTACATCTAACCTTGTGAGGACACACATTTCAGTCCCATTCAAAATCCTATTTTCTCTAAACCTAACCCTAACCCTAACCTTAACCCGTAAACCTAACCTTACTAAACCTAACCCTAGCTCCTAATCCTAAACCTACAAGTAATCCTAGCTCCTAACCCTAAACCTAATTCTAACCCTAACACTAATTCTAAACTTAACCCTAAACCCTCTAGAAATAGCATTTGACCTTGTGGGGACCAATGAAATACCCCCAGTTGGTCAAATTTCCACACACACACACACGCGAAGCTGCCGGGAAGAGACTTTCTGGCAATCAGCTAACAACACAATATGAACAGGACTGAGCTAATGTATATGAATCCATCCCCACACACTCTATCAGCAACACTCCTTCACAAACAGCTCATCAGTGTTGTGATTTTTTACTTTTTCTAGAACTATTTTGCTCGGAACTTCTACAACATGAGAATGCTGGCGTTGTTCGTGGCCTTCGCCATCAACTTCATCCTCCTCTTCTACAAGGTAATCACAACGTGATGGAGCTAGCTGGGCCCTACCTTTCACCGCTCCATGGATGCTGATGCTGATGCTGATGCTGATGCTGATGCTGAAGGCTGATGCTGATGCTGATGCTGATGCTGCTGCTGAAGGGTTGCTGGGTGGGGAGAACATTGGATGGATAGAACTCTTTGTAGTCATACATTTTCTATGGATTATATTCATGAGGATCCAGCAACTCACTGTTTAATCAATAGTCATTTTAGAGTGAGCCCATGGTTCGTTGTCCCCCCCCCCCCCCCCCTCCTCCAGGTGTCCTCCTCCTCAGCGGTGATCCCCGAAAGCAGAAGGCCCCGGTCAAGCAGCAGTGTGCGGTGGGACCCCCTGATGGAGGGTAGTGAGCCCCAGGAGACCCAAGACCCCCAGCAGGGCCCTTTGTTTGTCCACTTTGTGCTGGAGGAGAGCACCGGATACATGGAGCCCACCCTACGTATCCTGGCCATCCTACACACTGTCATCTCCTTCTGCTGCATCATAGGTTACTACTGCCTCAAGGTAGGATACTACTGCCTTAAGGTAGGATACTACTGCCTTAAGGTAGGATACTGCTGCCTCAAGGTAGGATACTGCTGCCTCAAGGTAGGATACTACTGCCTCAAGGTAGGATACTGCTGCCTCAAGGTAGGATACTACTGCCTCAAGGTAGGATACTACTATTACTACTGCCTCAAGGTAGGATACTACTGCCTCAAGGTAGGATACTACTGCCTCAAGGTAGTGTAGGATATACTGCCTCAAGGTAGGATACTACTAGTATACTACTGCCTCAAGGTAGGATTACTACTGCCTCAAGGTAGGATACTGCTGCTCAAGGTAGGATACTGACTGCCTTAAGGTAGGATACTACTGCCTTAAGGTAGGATACTGCTGCCTCAAGGTAGGATACTGCTGCCTCAAGGTAGGATACTACTGCCTCAAGGTAGGATACTGCTGCCTCAAGGTAGGATACTGCTGCCTCAAGGTAGGATACTACTGCCTCAAGGTAGGATACTGCTGCCTCAAGGTAGGATACTACTGCCTCAAGGTAGGATACTACTCAGTATTACTACTGCTCAAGGTAGGATACTACTGCCTCAAGGTAGGATTACTACTGCCTCAAGGTAGGATTACTACTGCCTCAAGGTAGGATACTACTATTACTACTGCCTCAAGGTAGGATACTACTGCCTCAAGGTAGGATACTGCTGCCTCAAGGTAGGATACTACTGCCTCAAGGTAGGATACTACTATTACTACTGCCTCAAGGTAGGATACTACTGCCTCAAGGTAGGATACTGCTGCCTCAAGGTAGGATACTGCTGCCTCAAGGTAGGATACTGCTGCCTCAAGGTAGGATACTGCTGCCTCAAGGTAGGATACTACTGCCTCAAGGTAGGGTTCTACTGCCTCAAGGTAGGGTTCTACTGCTTCAAGGTAGGGTTCTACTGCTTCAAGGTAGGATTCTACTGCCTCAAGGTAGGATTCTACTGCCTCAAGGTAGGGTTCTACTGCCTCAAGGTAGGGTTCTACCGCTTCAAGGTAGGATTCTACTGCTCAAGGTAGGATTCTACTGCCTCAAGGTAGGATTCTACTGCCTCAAGGTAGGGTTCTACTGCCTCAAGGTAGGGTTCTACTGCTTCAAGGTAGGATTCTACTGCTTCAAGGTAGGGTTCTACTGCTTCAAGGTAGGGTTCTACTGCCTCAAGGTACTGTAGGCCTGATTCTATGATTCTAATGGGAGTGTAGGTTAAGGTAAGTATAGATGGGGTTTTGGTTAACATGCAGTTTTGTTTAAAGTGTTAAGAATTGACTTTTGTGTTTATATGGAAATGTTCAATTTCAGACTGTGAAGAGATGCCAGAGTGGTTTGTCAGACACAGATAGCCTGATCTACTGTATGTCAATGGGCCTGGGTTCTCCACCTCTCTGATCTACTGTATGTCAATGGGCCTGGGTTCTCCACCTCTCTGATCTACTGTATGTCAATGGGCCTGGGTTCTCCACCTCTCTGATCTACTGTATGTCAATGGGCCTGGGTTCTCCACCTCTCTGATCCATCCTTCCTCCATGCCTGTTTACCCACCAGGTCCCGTTGGTGATCTTCAAGCGTGAGAAGGAGGTGGCGAGGAAGCTGGAGTTTGATGGTCTCTACATCACAGAGCAGCCGTCGGAGGATGACATTAAAGGCCAGTGGGACAGACTAGTGATTAACACTGGGTAAGTCCACTGTTACCGCTCAGTTACTGCATAGTTCATTATCACAGCGGTTGCCTCCCTAATGGCACCCTATTCCCTGCATAGTGCACTACTTTGGACCAGCTCTGCTCTAAAGTAGTGCACTGTGCAAGGGTATAGGGTGCCATTTGAGACTCAGTCAGTTATTACAGCACAGCTAACGCAGTATGGTCCGGGTCACGGAGGCCACAGGCTGAGCTAATTGTCCTCTGAATGTTTAAATGTCAAACCTAACGATCACGCTCGTCTTGCGGTGGTGGGGCTTTGACTCTGCAGCACTATGATATAGAGGTCTCTGGGTCACATATTAATGATATAGAGAAATTAATGAATATGGCAAACCATTATCGTTAATCCATTTCATAGCTGGATAATGTTTTTTTTGTATAGACTGAGCATGTGGACCATGTTTTCTGTTTGGAGGACGTGGGCTAGTAATGTAATGGACTTTGGTTTTGATTTTCAGATCGTTTCCAAACAACTACTGGGATAAGTTTGTGAAGAGGAAGGTAGGTCTGAATTCATATTCACTGAAGACTCTCAATGTAATACATTTAGCTCTACATCAGTGACCTGTTTAGAACCTGTTTAGAACCAGTTTAGAACCAGTTTAGAACCTGTTTAGAACCTGTTTAGAACCTGTTTAGAAACAGTTTAGAATGTATCAGAACAGTAGAGTAAAGCTGTGTGGGTCCCCCTGCAGGTAATGGATAAGTATGGAGAATTCTACGGCCATGACCGCATCAGTGAGCTCTTGGGTATGGACAAGGCTGCTCTGGACTTCAGCGACGCCCACGAGAAGAAGAAACCCAAGAAAGACAGCTCCTTAGCCGCAGTGTGAGTCTGGGGGTGGGGGACAGAGCCGGGGAGGGTTTGGAGGGATGGAGGGATGGGGTTGGGGGACAGAGCCGGGGGAGGGTTTGGAGGGATGGAGGGATGGGGTTGGGGGACAGAGCCGGGGAGGGTTTGGAGGGTGAAGGGGGTGGGGGACAGAGCGGGGAGGATTGGGAGGGATGGAGGGATGGGGGTGGGGGGACCAGAGCCGGGGAGGGTTTGGAGGGATGGAGGGATGGGGGTGGGGGGACAGAGCCGGGGAGGGTTTGGAGGGATGGAGGGATGGGGGTGGGGGGACAGAGCCGGGGAGGGTTTGGAGGGATGGGGAGGGATGGGGTGGGGGACAGAGCCGGGGAGGGTTTGGAGGGATGGAGGGATGGGGTGGGGGGACAGAGCCGGGGAGGGTTTGGAGGGATGGAGGGATGGGGTTGGGGGACAGAGCGGGGAGGGTTTGGAGGGATGGAGGGTGAAGGGAGGGGGTGGGGGACAGAGCCAGGGAGGGTTTGGAGGGATGGAGGGATGGGGGTGGGGGACAGAGCCGGGGAGGGTTTGGAGGGATGGAGGGATGGGGGTGGGGGACAGAGCCGGGGAGGGTTTGGAGGGGGAGGGTGAAGGGATGGAGTTGGGGGACAGAGCCGGGGAGGGTTTGGAGGGTGGAGGGATGGGGGTGGGGGACAGAGCCGGGGAGGGTTTGGAGGGATGGAGGGTGAAGGGATGGAGTTGGGGGGACAGAGCCGGGGAGGGTTTGGAGGGATGGGTTGGGGGGTGGGGGGACAGAGCCGGGGGGGTTTGGAGGGATGGGGTTGGGGTGGGGGACAGAGACGGGGAGGGTTTGGAGGGATGGAGGGATGGAGGGGAATGGGGGTGGGGGACAGAGCGGTGAGGGTTTGGAGGGATGGAGGGTGAAGGGATGGAGTTGGGGGACAGAGCCGGGGAGGGTTTGGAGGGATGGAGGGTGATGGGATGGGGGTGGGGACAGAGCCGGGGAGGGTTTGGAGGGATGGAGGGTTGGAAGGATGGGGGTGGGGGGACAGAGCCGGGGAGGGTTTGGAGGGATGGAGGGATGGAGGGTGGGGGACAGAGCCGGGGAGGGTTTGGAGGGATGGAAGGGATGGGGGGGTGGGGGACAGAGCCGGGGAGGGTTTGGAGGGATGGAGGGATGGAGGGGGAAGGGATGGGGGTGGGGGACAGAGCCGGGGAGGGTTTGGAGGGATGGAGGGAGGGGGGTTGGGGGACAGAGCCGGGGGGAGGGTTTGGTGGGATGGAGGGTGGGCGGACAGAGCCGGGGAGGGTTTGGAGGGGTGGGGTGGGGGACAGAGCCGGGGAGGGTTTGGAGAGGATGGAGGGTTGAAGGGATGGGGGTGGGGGACAGAGCCGGGGAGGGTTTTGGAGGGATGGAGGGGATGGGGGTGGGGGACAGAGACGGGGAGGGTTTGGAGGGATGGAGGGTTGAAGGATGGGGGTGGGGGGGACAGAGCCGGGGAGGGTTTGGAGGGATGGAGGGATGGGGGTGGGGGACAGAGACGGGGGGGGGTTTGGAGGGATGGAGGGATGGGTGGGGTGGGGGACAGAGCCGGGGAGGGTTTGGAGGGTGGGAGGGATGGGGGTGGGGGACAAAGCCGGGAGGGTTTGGAGGGTTGGAGGGATGGGGGTGGGGGACAAAGCCAGGAGGGTTTGGGGGATGGAGGGGATGGGGGGGGGACAGAGCCGGGGAGGGTTTGGAGGGATGGAGGGATGGAGGGATGGGGGTGGGGGACAGAGCCGGTGAGGGTTTGGAGGGATGGAGGGTGATGGGGATGGGGGGTGGGGGACAGAGCCGGGGAGGGGTTTGGAGGGATGGAGGGTGAAGGGATGGGGGTGGGGGACAGAGCCGGGGAGGGTTTGGAGGGATGGAGGGATGGGGGTGGGGGACAGAGCAGGGGAGGGTTTGGAGGGATGGAGGGATGGGGGTGGGGGACAGAGCGGGGAGGGTTTGGAGGGATGGAGGGATGGAGGGGAAGGGATGGGGGGTGGGGGACAGAGCCGGGGAGGGTGGTTTGGAGGGATGGAGGGATGGGGTTGGGGGACAGAGCCGGGGAGGGTTTTGGAGGGATGGAGGGATGGGGGGGGGTGGAGGGATGGGGGGAGGATGGGGGGGTGCCCCTCACAGTGGCTGTTGGGACCCAATCAGAGAGCCGGGGAGGGTTTGGAGGGATGGAGGGTGAAGGGATGGGTTGGGGGACAGAGCCGGGGAGGGTTTTGGAGGGATGGAGGGTGGGGGACAGAGCCGGGGAGGGTTGTGGAGGGGTGGGGGTGGGGGACAGAGCCAGGGGAGGGTTTGGAGGGATGGAGGGTGGAGGGGTGAAGGGATGGGGGTGGGGTACAGAGCCGGGGAGGGTTTGGAGAGGGATGGAGGGATGGGGGTGGGGTACAGAGCCGGGGAGGGTTTGGAGGGTGGAGGGGATGGGGTTGGGGGTGGGGGACAAGGCACGGGGAGGGATGGAGGGTGAAGGGATGGGGGTGGGGGGACAGAGCGGGGAGGGTGTGGAGGGTGGAGGGATGGGGGTGGGGGACAGAGCCAGGGAGGGTTTGGAGGGATGGAGGGATGGGGTTGGGGGTGGGGGACAGAGCCGGGGGGGGGGATGGAGGGTGAAGGGATGGGGGTGGGGACAGAGCCGGGGAGGGTTTGGAGGGATGGAGGGGGGGGTGGGGGGGGGGACAAGAGCCGGGGGAGGGTTTGGAGGGATGGAGGGATGGGGGGTGGGGGACAGAGCCGGGGAGGGTTTGGAGGGATGGAGGGATGGAGGGGAAGGGATGGGGGTGGGGGACAGAGCCGGGGAGGGTTTGGAGGGATGGAGGGATGGGGTTGGGGGACAGAGCCGGGGAGGGTTTGGAGGGATGGAGGGATGGGGGGTGGAGGGATGGGGGATGGGGGGTGCCCCTCACAGTGCCTGTTGGACCCAATCAAAGCATTGAACTTAGATCATTAAAGCTCATAGATGGGGAAGCTTACTCTGTATTAGAGAGAACCAAAAATCTAGTTTCACCTTCTAAATGTGCACCTTTCTCTCTCTGTTGTTAATATGGAGTAAGCTTCCTCTGAAGCCAATAGAGTGAGAGGTGTTCTCCTAATATTTTATGTGTTTCAGTTGGAAGATGGCAGTAATGACCAATTACTGTACAGGATGGTGGCAGCAGGAGGCCTGATCGATGACAAATACGCCCCCAACATCAACCCTGTTTATGTTCTGTTCTGTTCCAGATTAAACTCTGTAGATGTCAAGTACCAGATCTGGAAACTAGGAGTCGTCTTCACAGACAATGTAAATAAAGACTTCTTTCATCCTTTAACTGCTTATTTAATAATTATTTTATTTTTTAGTCATTTAGCAGACGCTCTTATCCAGAGCAACTTACATGAGCAATTAGGGTTAAGTGCCTTGCTTAAGGGCACATCGACAGATTTTTCACCTAGTCGGCTCGGGGATTAGAACCAGCAACCTTTCGGTTACTGGCACAACGCTCTTAACCACTAAGCTACCTGCCGCCCCCCAGAATAATACATGATATATGCCGTTTAGCAGACACTATTTCTAGCTCTCTTCCTGACCTCTGACCCCTGCAGTCGTTCCTGTACCTGGCTTGGTATATGACCATGTCCGTCCTGGGTCACTACAACAACTTCTTCTTTGCTGCTCATCTCCTGGACATCGCCATGGGCTTCAAGACCCTCCGCACCATCCTGTCTTCTGTCACGCACAACGGCAAACAGGTACTACAGTCGACTTTATCACTATGTCTGCACTTACTTAGTATCCTACAAACCAGTGTCTAAATATACAATATGTTACTGTAGGTACGTACAGGGAGGTCCAAAGCATTTGGACAGTGACATACTTTTTGTTGTTTCGGCTCTGTACTCCAGAACTTTGAGGGTATTTTCATCCATATCGGGTTGAACCGTTTAGAAATTACAGCACTTTTTGTACATAGATCCATTCCATCCACAGAACATGAAACATTACATAATACAGAACATTACCGTTAAATGCTTACTTACAAACCCTTAACCAACAATGCAGTTTTAAGAAAATAGACTTAAGAAAATATTGACTAAATAAACTAATGTAAATAAAAAGTAACACAATAAAATAACAATAATGAGGCTATATACAGGGGGTACCGGTACCGAGTCAATGTGCCGGGGTACAGGTTAGTCGAGGTAATTTGTACATGTAGGTAGGGGTAAAGAGACTATGCATAGATAATAAACAGCGAGTAGCAGCAGTGTAAAAACAAAGGGGGGGGGGGGGGGTCAATGTTAATAGTCTGGGTGGCCATTTGATTAATTGTTCGGCAGCCTTATGGCTTGGGGGTAGAAGCTGTTAAGGAGCCTTTTGGACCTAGACTTGGCACTCCGGTACCGCTTGCCGTGTGGTAGCAGAGAACAGTCTATGACTAGGGTGGCTGGAGTCTTTGACAAGTCTTTGGGCCTTCCTCTGACACCGCCTGGTATAGAGGTCCTGGATGGCAGGAAGCCAACATAAGGTCAGGGCCGTTATCCAGCAAGGTGAGGTATTGAAAGGTATTGAAAACAGGGGTGTCAATCATTTTGACCCCTACCTTTTTGAGAAGAAAAAGTATTACTTGTTAAACAAAATGTATTTCTCTGAGCAATTGAATTAGTATAAGATCATATATTTCCATGGTGGATTTCAAATTTTCACTAAATGAAAAGACCCCCTCCTCCTCCCCAGCGTCTCTCCTCTATAGAGCTATAAGTAGTTATATCTAGAGATCCTCTCATATATTCTGAGATAGATCTCCTATCTCTCGACTCTCTTTGGATTCTCCGTCCCCCACGAGAATCCTCTCTCCCTGAATCTCTCTCGCTCTCTCTCTCTCCCAGCTCTCTCCTCCTCCCTGTCTATCTTCGTCCTCCTCTCTCTCTCTCTCTCCTCCTCCTCTCTTCCGGTCTCCTCTCTCCCTCCTCCGTCTCTCCTCTCGTCACTCCTCCCTCCCTCCCTCCCTCCCTCCCTCCCTCGCCGTCCCTCCCTCCCCCTCCTACTCCATTCCTCCAGCTGGTTCTGACAGTAGGACTACTAGCTGTAGTTGTGTATCTCTACACCGTGGTGGCTTTCAACTTCTTCAGGAAGTTCTACAACAGGGGGGAAGAGGGAGAGACACCGGACATGAAGTGTGATGACATGCTCACGGTGAGTAGTCAAGCCTCAGCCTGTTTTCACAAAGAGTCTCAAAGTCAGAGTGCTGATCTACAATCACTTTGGCTTTTAGATCACACTGAATCAGATTATATAGACAAGGAGGTCCTGGATCCTAGATCAGCAGTGACTTCATTGCACACACACAATATAATCTCTGAATGTGTTTTTTTTTTGTGTGTGTAAGTGTGATTGACTCATACAGCTACAGCTTCCCCATTCAGTCACCAGTTCTACATCCCACTACTTTATCCTCCTTTATGGCAACTTGATTGCCATGCAGATGCAGGCAGAGCTGTGATGAATGCAGTTCATTAAGCTCGTTAAGCTAAGGGCTAATTAGTCACTAGTTGCTGGGACGCAGCTGCTAATTGCCTTAGCGTTCCCTGACACTGTGAGACAGAGAAAGGCGGCGTCAGAACGAGGCCTGCTGATTGGCCGGGCCAGGTCTAATTAGCCCCAGCTGTAATGGATACGGAATAAAAAGATCTGGGTTGTGGAACCCTATCCCCTAATATAGTGCACTACTTTTGACCAAAGTCCTATGGGCCAACAGTAGTACACTAACTGGGTAATAGGTTACCATTTGGGACTCAGTGTAGTGAATGCAATGAACAGTGGATCAATGTGAAATGGGGCTGAGCAACGCCTCAATGACCTATTCTGTTGTGGTCTTATTGGCAGGAGCACAGAGCCATCAGAGCCCGTCAGAATGAACCACAAAATAACTGTTGAATAGGTTATATCATAAAGTCCAAACATCAATGAATGACTCAGGTGGTGTCTGGCAAGAGTTTAGAATTAGGGAATTGGTTTTGGTAGAACTTCCTTCCTAAGATATAATGTATACTGACACCGCCTGGTATAGAGGTCCTGGACAGTGTTATAATGTATACTGAACAAAAATGTAAACGCAACATGTAATCATTTCAACTATTTTACTCAGTTACAGTTCATATAAGGAAATCAGTCAATTAAAATAAATTAATTAAGCCCTAATCTGTGGATTTCACATGACTGGGCAGGGGCACAGCCATGGCTGGGCCTGGGAGGGCATAGGCCCACCCACTAGGGAGCCAGGCCCAGCCAATCAAAACGAGTGTTTCCCCACAAAAGGGCTTCATTACAGACAGAAATACTCCTCAGTTTCATCAGCTGTCTGGGTGGCTGGTCTCAGACGATCCCGCAGGTGAAGAAGCCGGATGTGGAGGTCCTGGGCAGGCGTGGTTTCATGTGGTCTGTGGTTGTGATGGCGGTTGGACGTACTGCAAAATTCTCTAAAACGACGTTGGAGGCGACTTATGGTAGAGAAATTAACATTTAATTCTCAGGCAACAGCTCTGCTGGACATTCCTGCAGTCAGTATGCCAATTGCATGCTCCCTCAAAACTTGAGACATCTGTGGTATTGTGTTGTGTGACAAAACTGCACATTTTATAGTGGCCTTTTATTGTCCCCAGCACAAGGTGCACCTATGTAATGATCATGCTGTTTAATCAGCTTCTTAATATGCCACACCTGTCAGGTGGATGGATTATCTTGGCAAAGGATAAATGCTCACTAACAGGGATGTAAACAAATTTGTACACAAAATGTGAGAGAAATAAGCTTTTTGTGCATATGGAACATTTCTGGGATCTTTATTTCAAGCTCATGAAACATGAGACCAACCACTTACATGCTGCGTTTTTATATTTTGGTTTTCAGTTCATAAACTGGCAGGTTGTCAGTGTCTAGTAAATGCAGGTTGTTCAGGTTTAATGTAACTGGCAGGTTGTTATAATGTAACTGGCAGGTTGTCAGTGTTCTAATGTAACTGGCAGGTTGTCAGTGTTATAATGTAACTGGCAGGTTGTCAGTGTTATAATGTAACTGGCAGGTTGTCAGTGTTATAATGTAACTGGCAGGTTGTCAGTGTTCTAATGTAACTGGCAGGTTGTTATAATGTAACTGGCAGGTTGTCAGTGTTATAATGTAACTGGCAGGTTGTCAGTGTTATAATGTAACTGGCAGGTTGTCAGTGTTATAATGTAACTGGCAGGTTGTCAGTGTTATAATGTAACTGGCAGGTTGTCAGTGTTATAATGTAACTGGCAGGTTGTCAGTGTTATAATGTAACTGGCAGGTTGTCGTGTATATAAGTTGCGGTGTACTAT